TGTTTATCTTCTGTTAATAAATCCATAACCAACAGCTTTTCTGCCATTATTTAAAACATTAGATAGATTATATAAACTGTAAAATATTAATAATAATTGGGTTAATAATATTATTATTGGTTTTAATTATTTATACATCATCAGTCCTTTTTTTCTGCTCTGTCACCAACAGGCACAGTAATGGGAAATCCAGACTCTTTAGCTTTAGCCGTTAGCTTCTACAGCCGATCACACGCTCACCTGGTTTCTGAGCTCCAGCTGGAACATACACCTCCATGGTTCTGACCCTCGTTTATTTTTGGGCAGAAACGAAACATCATAAAAATGTTTAATCTGTAAAGATTAACTGCTGACCCAGGTTTAATCCTGCCTGCAGTGCCCTCCGCTGCCCCCAAGAACCTGACCTTTGACCTGTCGGACCAGCAGCTGTCCGTCCAGTGGGCGAAGCTGCAGGAGGAGGAGCTGCGAGGGAAACTGCTGGCCTACAAGCTGCAGTGGACTCTGGGGGGTGAGGAACAGGTGAGACACTGCAGGACCTTCTTTATCCTCCTGACTGCAGAACTCTGAGGGTCTGTGTCCCGGGTTTTCAGGAGCCGCTGCTGTTTAAGCAGAACTCGGCCCGCCTCTYGGGCGGGGGTCGCTTCTTCAACGCCTCCTTCCAGGTCTCGGCCTGCACCTCTGTGGGCTGTGGACCCTGGAGCCCCCCGGTGCTGGTGCTGCCTGCCTCAGGTAAAGACTCAGKGGGGTTGTGGTTCTGTKASAGTGAACCCTTAGTAATACTTCAAMTGTAACAAAGACTGCTAAAAAACACTGCTGACTCTTTAGTTTTTATAAAGTGAAAATATAATGTCAAATGGATGGCCCCATGTTATTTATGCTGCAAAGCATACTGGGTAAATGATGTTTACAGGGTCCTTTTGTTTTTCTTGCCTTTTAACTTTTGTGCTATATCGTTATATCTATTATAGCTTTATTAGCTTATATTAGCTCTGGAGCTAATGTCGTATATATGTATTAGCTCTGGAGCTAATGCTATGTATAGGTATTAGCTTTGGAGCTAACACTATATGTGTATTAGCTCTGCAGCTAACGCCATATCGCCATATTTATGTATTAGCTCTGGAGCTAACGCTATACAGTATATATTAGCTCTGGAGCTAACATGATATTTGTCTGTTTGTTGGTCCCTCAGCACAGATCCAGGTACGGCGGAGCCACATGTGGGTCGGCCTCCTGCTGGGCCTGCTGGTGGCCACTGTGGTGGGCCTGATGCTGGCTGTCGTGGCTCAGCGCCGAGGAAAAGATTCCCAGTTCGGGTACGAAGTCAAAGTTTTCACCTTCAGTAGCAGCCGAGAGCCACAGGCAGGCGCCGATGAGCAGGAAAAAGAGTTCAGATTTAAAGCTAAAGCTCTTTCTTTCTGTTTTCAGGTCGGGCTTTAAGAGTCCTGGACCTGAAGGTTTGGTCTCGTTCACAGCAGCTCGATCGTTCAGCAGGAACAACACTGATCTGCAGGAATCCACCTGTGAGTGAAGCTTCCTACGATAAAAACAAAACCTGCAGCTCCTCAGATGACTTTTGTGCAGACATGCAGTTCCAGAACAAGATTTAGATTTTGGTTTGATGACACAGCATAACTACAGACTGCTGTCAGCCTGGTTGCAAACAGTTGCTAAAATTGGAGTTAGCCAAACAATTGCTAAAATATAATTAGCCAGACAATTGCTAAAACATGGAATTAGCTAAACAGTTTCTAAAACATAGTTAGCTAAACAGTTGCTAAAACATAGTTTTAGCAATTGTTAGCAACAGTTTTTAGCAAACAATTAATGAAACACAGAATTAGCCAAATAGTAGCCAGAAAATATAGAATAACAYAAATCTTGCTAACATATAGAATTAGCCAAGGAGTAGCTAATGGCTAACAATGAAGCAAGTAAGCTAAGGTAGAAATCAAAAAACACAATGTTTTTCTAGGATTTGAATTTCTTTATTCATTTAATTTAAAAAAAGTGAATAAAGTTAAACATTTAATTTTAAAGAGGACATTCCGGTTGGTGAACTCATACTTTATTGATGTTTGAACGACTCGTACTGGTTTCTGTTCTCTCATTTTGCGTCTCCTCCACCCTTCAGTGGACAGTCTGGGCATCAGCGATGAGCTGAAGAACAAACTCCAGGATGTGTTGATCCCAGACAGACTCCTGACCCTCGGCTACATGCTGGGAAAAGGTAACAACAAGAAGAAAACACCTGAACAAGGAGTGTTGGCTGCTGGTCTATAAAATGAGGAGATCAGATGAATGTTTGGACCTCAGAGAACAGAGGAACRTGTTGGTGGTGAAGTTCTGAGTGTTGATCAGTGCTGTGCTTGGATCTCATGTGATGACAGCCCTGAGGTCTTCAGCTCGCACACACGCTGCTCCCAGAGAATCTGGAGCCGTTATGATGAGCTGAGGACCTGTCTAACACCTGGATGACTAAACTCAGTGAAAGTATAACAGAGTGTTGTTCTTTATGTGTTTACCTGTGCAGGTGAGTTTGGTTCAGTGCGTGAGGCTGTCCTGAAGACTGAGGACTCATCGGTCCAGAAGGTGGCGGTCAAAGTGCTGAAATGTACGTCAGGTTCTACCTGTGTTGCATGAAGATGTTTTTATATGTAAAGAAAACATGTCGAATGGAAGATGTGTGTGTGTGTGTATGTGTGTGTGTGTGTGTGTGTGTGTGG